AGCATGCATGAGGTCCTGGGTTCAAGTCCCAGTATCTCCATTTAAAATAGTAGTAGTAGTAGTAGTAGTAGTAGTAGTAGTAGTAGTAGTAGTAGTAGCAGTAATAATAATAATAATAATAATAATAAATAATAAAAAATTTTTTTTCTTTAAATCTGTTGATGAGTAGAATGTTTTCTATTTCTCTGGTTAAGCCTCTCTTGCCCCAGGCTAAATTAAATTTCACTTGTAGGTGTCACTGGGTTTTTTTAAGGTGGTCACTGGTGGGGAGCCAGAGAAACCTTCCTGCCCCTCCTGAGGCCCCCAGTTCTGACACAATCCTTACCGACCACTTTGCCGGTGGAGCAGCCACTGTAGATGAACTGCTGGCCGGTGCTATGGGCGGGGGAGAATCGGCAGCGGATGAGGGTGTGCAGCACCCCGTGGCCCCGGTAGGTCATCAAGGAACTGTCCCCTGGGAGCTTCAGCTTCCGCCAGGCTGCGTAGGGATGCAGGGCGAGCCCTAGGTTAGGGAGTCTGAATTCTCCGTATCACCGGTCCTTAGCAAAGATCAATGCTCACGGACAATCACCTTTCCAATTCCCAACTGGTGGCTCTTTCCCCTCCCAACAGTCAGCTGATATTCACCAACAGAGCTCTGCTGGTTGTTAAGACCCTGAAATACTTTTGTACTCCTTGGTTCTGAGTGATCCCCAGCCTGTGCACTGGGAACCCCTGGCTCTCCCACAGTTCAGCAAACACAGTTATCAAAAGCTTGGCAAGGGAGTGTCAGGGGAGGTCTCCAGAACTTGGCTCCAGGCTACGGCCCCATCCACTGTGCCCATGCCAAGCCTGACCAGGGCTTAAATATTTTAGCTACCACCCCCGGCCCTGCACTCTCAGGATCTCAGGTTCTACTTCCACTCTCACCTTTTTTGGGCACCTGCTGCCAGCGGTAGTCCCAGTTTTGCTGTGTGGCAGCCTGGCGCGAGGCTTCCATGCCTTCCCGGCTAGAAAAGCGCCGTATATCCCAGAGCTTGATGGTCTGGTCCTTGGAGTTGGAGATGAGATACCGGGCATCACCCTGTGAATCCCAAGATGGATAATGAAGCATCGGAGCTTGCAAATGTTGGTGTCTGTCAGTCCAGCTCCCTTTCCCCAGCTGACAGGTAAGAACACCAATCCTTTAACTTTCTTCATCCAAACGGGCCTCGCCACAGACTCTGCCCTTGGCAGAGTTTCCCTTTCTTTGCCCAGGGTGCTGGCTGGACTCCTTGTCTATCCTGGATCAGACTGTCTTCTACTTTTCTTGTACAGAAAGCCCCGTTCTGCTTCTGGAGGAGTGGCAGATACCAATGGATCTCATGTTTCCTGGCTTAAGCCCCTTCCCTAATCTCCACCTCTTGCAAACCTTGGCTAATGAGGAGCCTGGTGAGTTCCCACACCCATCCACTTTGATGCCCTCCTGGAGAACCAGAACCTCAATAGCCTGGCTGTGTGGTCCTGCCTCCAGGCCCACCTTGCTGTCAATGAAGGTGATGCCGTCCTGGTGTCCAGCCAGTGCGCCCACGGGCTTGGGGTCATCCTCCCGCATAGTGCGTCGATCCCACACTTTGCAGATGGCGTCGTCACCACCAGAGAACAGGATTTGGGAGCTTATGTCAGCAAAGGCCACTGCGTTCACATCATCCTCATGGGACTCAATCTAGGGGAGAAAGAAGCCAGGATGCCTATGATCTCTTTCTAGGTCTTCCAATAGGCCAAGGGCCAGGAGGCAGAGGCTTGAAGTCTCGGAAGCAATACCTGAAGGGTACGCCGGTTCTGTTCTCGATCAAAGACATACAGGCAGCCATCATTGGCCCTGAAAGGGAGGGGATAAAAAGGGCTCTGGAGCCAACACCAAGAGGACCAAGGCTGTATGTGTGCTGGGGAAGCTGAAGAGAAGCCCTGAGGAGGGGCAAGCCCTTGTTCCTTCTTATACAGAAGATGGGAGAAGGGTCAGCTGTGTTTGCCAGGAGGTTTGAGACCTCCCATCTTATGCTGGGTGAAGGGTGAACAAGAGGTGAAGCAACTCATAAACCCGGACCCTGGAGAAAGCCTGGGTGTTCTCCACAGTCGCCTGGGTACAGGTGTCCAGTGCAGCCTCTGTAGCAGCAGAGCTGGTCTCTGAGAGGACTCCAGTCCCATTAAGTGAGGCAGAAATCCCCACAAACACTCACCCTCCGAGGACTTCTCGTCCATCTGAAGAGACAGCGATGGAGAAGACAGCAAAGCGTCTCTCATCTGGCCTGAAAAGAGCAAAGGAGGAGCTGTGTGAAATGGACTTCTTTCAGCCATTGTAAACTGACACAAAATCTGATGAGGGCCATGAGGCACACTTCCAAGGGGACGAGAAGTCCAGCCAGCACACACCAGAACGTGGAGCACCTCAGTAAGAACCTGGGAAGAATCCTGCAGCTGTCTATTTTACCCTGGTCCTCTGGCTGGCTGACAGGATGGGTGATTCCCTCCCAGGAATCCACAGAGAAACTTGCAACCAGTGTACTTTTCCCTCTAAGTGGAAGTTCGGGTTTAAGAGGTTTGCTCCCGGAGAGCCTTCCTTGAGAAGATTCTGATGAGTCTGACCAGGAAGGGAATCCAGTACCTTAGATCCAGGGCAGTGTGTGTGTCTCCCTCCCCGTAGATGTTGCAGATATGAACTAAGAGAAGCAAGAGAAACAAGAATCTTTCAGGGTTGGGGTAGGAAGAATGGGAGAGAAGCTAGGGAGGGGAATGAAACACAGGGCAAGGATGTCAGACCATGGGAGTGACCTTCCTAGGAGAAGGCATGGAGAACTGGCACAGAGATAGGTGTTTGGAGATCTCAGGTCTCAGGCTGGAGAAACAGTGGAGGTCTGGGGCATACTCACTATAATCAGACCAGCTGGAGTAAAGGAAATGGTTCCCATCAGGGGTGAAGGCCACATCCAAGACGCTCCAGCCTACATCCCGGGCCTTGATGCTCTTGAATTTACGAAAGCGGCCATACCGGCAGTCATACAGTCGGATTGTCTGGTCTGTGTAAGTGGGGATCAGGCAGAATTAGGGAACACCCTCCTGGAATCCTCCCTAACAAAGATCTCTCTCACTTGGTGTATCTGTGGAATCATCCCTTGATCGTGGGAAATTGTTCTGGCTAAGCAGCCCTATGCCAGGGTCTGAGCTCCCTGGGTCTGAGGCTTTCCAGCCTCAGCCACGGGGTGCGTCTCTTGTTCTAGGGCAGTGTGTAGGACAAAGATCTGTTACCTTGGCAAGCAGACATGAAGATTTGACCATCTTTGCTGTAGATGCCACAGAAAGCCTTCTGAGAGTAGGTATCAGTGAAGGCCAGATCGTTGGGCAAGAAGCTGGGGAAGCAGAGGGAAAATGAGGGTAAAGGGAGCTCAGAATGGGAGTGTCCCAGCTAGCAGAATCCTAACAGAACTGGACATGAGTTCAAGGGCATTCTTCCCTTTGGCTCTGGGTACAATCCCCTTTCTTTCATTCCTTCTATTGTCCTCTCAATGCCATACTTTTCCACTTCGTTTACTTTCAAAGCCTCAACCCCATTTAATCTAACCTTAATATCCCTGTGGACCCTTTAATGCTGATCCTTTCAAAGTTTAGGAGATGAGACCTAACTGGCCCATGGAATCTCTCCACCAAACTCCATACTCACTGAGACATCACTCGAGATCGTTCTCCAAGGGAGAAGCTTCCCCGGTGGCAGAGGCCCCGTTCTCTCTAAAAGAAGAGATTGGGGAATATTGCTAGCAGAAACAGGGCCACTTAGGCCACAACCAAGCCCCCTCCTCCAAAGATACTGCTCTCAATACAGAAACCAACATCGCACACAGCTGTATATCCCACCAAACTCTGATGAAGGCTGGCTAAAAGCTCTCCAGTTCCAGCTCTTGAGGCCTTCTAGGAAAGTTTACTTCCCTCTCCTCTGGGACTGGCAGAGCTTCTGGCTACATTGATAGGCTTGCTGCCGGGCTGGCTGGAAGCAGAGAGGCCTACCTGGTGCAGCATTTGAGGAAAGCTGTGCTCCCGGGCCATCCGCCTAAGTCCTAGCCGCCCTGTGGCCAATTCCACTTGTGTCTTGATCTCATTGCATTCCAGCTCCCGGGTGTCGGGGGTTGCATCTACTGTGAGTACCAAAGACAAGTTTCATCCTAGGTCTTCCGGTCCCAGAGGACAGTTAGCAGAGCTGTGCTCAGCCCACTCGATGTGGCTGATTATACCAGCGTGGCAAAAACTCCCTCATTCCCTGAGTTATCTCATCTTCTTTCAGTTTTGGCCAAAATAATTTTTAAAAAAGGTTATCTAACGAAAGTCTTCTGACGTTAGGATCTCTGCCTTTCCTCTTACCGGGTGGGTTGTATCGGTCTCCAAGACGACCGTCCCAGGCACTGTCATGCTCTTCCTCCGAGTCCGAGAGGGCCTGGATGAGTTGTAAATTTGCTGCACCTCCTCCCTGCACCAACCTCACTTGGCCTCTGTGGAGAGACCCCCCCCCCCACCATGATAAAGGGGAGGAACACTTCCCCGAACCAACCAAATTCAGAGTCAGTGGCTATCTAGTTCTTAGACCTGGTCCTCAAACCCTCATACTGTCCCCATTTTGAGGTTTGAAGCTGACTAGACCTTGGCTGTTATTTTCAGCCTGCTATTAAGGCACACTAGGAAACTCATTCTCTTACAGTGGGAGTAGAAAACCCCAACATTGCATGATGTTGACCAACCTACTAAGTTGACTCCCCAGAGAGCTAAAAATTCTGAGCTTCTGCCCAAGGAGTGCAGCATAGAACATGGTATCCTGAAGGGATCCCCAAGGAGCCACAGCTAAGAACCAAAGCCAGCTGTATCCCTTTCCAGTCAATTCCTGATGATCACTTCCCTCAAAGCATTCTTTCCTCAAGAATAGGATTAGAGTAAGGTTAATTTAAACTTGTTTTTCCAGTAAATCCACATGGCCCCATATCATGTATTAATAACTTCACTAAAGTTCAACACTCACCTCCCCAACTCTTCTCTGCACCCCTCACATCACTCCTTTCCCACCACAGCCCCGCTCTTTTTTTTTTAACTTACTTAGAAAATAGGTTATATTTGTGTAGTCATAGCTAGAGAGACTCCCCTGAACGTCGCCTCAAACACAAGAGGGTCTTGCTGACCCTCCCTAGGCAAGAACGACTCTTACTGGGTACAAAGCTGAGTGCCCTGAGTGTCCAGCTCAAACAGAACAGCTGTGCTGGGCTAATCCCCTTCCCTATTCTCTGTAACTTCCCTGACAGGAGCTGGGATCAAGGGACTGTGGTGGCGCCTGGTGGGGACACACCAGAGGGTAAGTTACCTGCGTAGGAGATAGGCCAGTACCTGGGCCAGATCCACATCTTCATCCTCCTCTTCCTCTTCCTCACTCCTACGCAGGCCAGCCCCTCTTCGGGGCAAGCCCTCAGGGGGGTCTCCGGACCCAGTTCCTGCGCTGCTGCTGTTCCGTGATCCCATCTTCTGGTCACAGCATCCTTAAGTCCTGTGCAGGGACTCCTCCTGTCACCGCCTTGGGTTTAGTGAAAGCAAAGCCTGCTCTAGAAATACCAAAGTCTCCTGAGATACATGGGTAGCTATCTCTAGGAGGGCGACCCTTTCTAGGGACCGAGATCCCTTCTCCTTAGCCTGTAACAACTCCCAAGGCTGCAGGGACACAAACCTTTCTCAATCCTGTGAAGAAAAAAAAAAAAAAGGCGGAGTGAAGCCTAAGAGGCTACGCTAGCCCAGTTGTGAGAATCCTTTGAAGAGGAATTTCTCAGTTTTCTACCTCAAACTCACCTACCAAAGTCCCCGGGATGGGGGTGGATTCCCAGGTACCTCTCCGGCCGACCAATCAAAACCCCTCGCGGAAGAAAGGACCTCATTAACTTATCTCACCTGACCAATCAGAGGCCTTAGGTCTCAAAGACCCCCGACGCCCCCTTTACTGACCAATCAGAGCACTCCCTTGCGAAAGCCGGCGGCAGGGACAACCAATGAGGTTAAAATTCGGCCTAACACCCCCTCCTTCCTTGCCTCACGCCCACGTGGTGTGCCGGGGGTGTGTACGCTGTGGGGTGAGAAGCAGGGAGGAAGCCGAGAAGCACCTCCCACAAAGCTGGCGGTTACCGCCCCGCGCGAGACCACCCACCAGCCAGGAGTGGTCGCAGGACCCGCAGCGGCGCGAAGCCTTGTTTACACGGACGGCAGCCGCGGCGTCGGCCAACCGCTCCTTCGTCACGCGCCTCCTTCGTCACATCTCCGGGCTCCGCGGCCGGCGGACAGCGGACATCACGTGACGCCCTGACGGCCCCGCCCCCTTGGCCCGCTCACTGGACAGTTTAGCACGGTGATTGACAGATGGGCGGGATAAAGTGCGCGAGGGGTGTAAGGGGAGGAGAAAGAGCGCGACACAGGAGGGGCGTTCGCTCCTTATTGGGAGGGGTAAGTGGGGAACGTCTGCTTCCTGAATCAGAGACAACGGAACTAGATTTACTGGGTGAGGGGCGGGGCTTAGAAAATAAGTTGGTGCTTTGCTGACGAGAAGTGTCTTAGCAAGGGGTACAATTTGCTGTCGGTCCCTTGTGTCCATTTGGCTGTGCACTTTTCAGACGGTCTCTAAGGGTCTCTTTCTTCCCCTTGTCCCTCACCCGGCTCCAGCCTCCTTCGTGTAGCTGGCTGCAGCTCTAGTCGGCCCTGCCCTAAGGGGTACCTGGCGCCTTTGGAGTGTGTTCACGTCACATTTGGGAACCCAGGGCTTCACACCCTCCCTTCCGGGTTTAGCTTCCGGAAGCCTTGTTCTTGTGGGGATGGTCCTTTCTAGACCTCTTAGCCGCTTTGGCAACTTTTTAGATGACCCCTGGCTTCCCTCCGCGGTCTTTGCAGACGCTCCCTAGTGCACCCGTGGGTCTCCACAGGCCTTTCCTCTTCTTCAGTCCCCCTCTGACGCCTTTGGGCCCTCGAGCATTTGCGGACCTTCCTTGGCCCCTCTGTCCCTGAGGTTCCTCTCCGCCCGGGGCCGCCGGTCCAGAGTGTGCACGCGCGTCGCCTCCTACCCTCTCCTCTGGGTTTATGAGTAACCCGGCTGAGTCCAAGGCCGGGACTTTTGTACCTCGGGATCCTCGCCCAGGCTGGAGTGGGGGTGGGAGTGTGTGGCTCCAGTGACCATGCAGGGCGGAAAGGCCCCGGGTCCAAGCTAAACTTCAGCGCCCCCAGCCCGCAGTCTCCCTAAGTGCTTCGATCTGTCCCCGCCCAGAGCCCCCTGAGGACAGAAAAGGGAGCGGGGGCCCTTAGTCTCCCCGGGCTCTCCTTCTGGGGTTCACTCTCCTTGGGAGGGCGAGGGTGTGGTCAATCCTTCGGGTGTTGCCTCCTGGTTTCTGGAGCGCTAGACTTGAACTTATCCACAGTCACCAACCAGGGCCGGCTTCATGGGTGTGCGACCTGTACAGTCGAACCCACACTTAAGTGTTCTGCTGTCAGCGTTTGAAATTCTTTAAAATCTTTGAAAAAGCACCCCACATTTCCCCTTTCTCTGGGCTCTACTAATTATATAGCAGATTCTGCCAGTCACCCATCTCCTATTGCCAGATTACTTACTATCTGTGACCTATAATAATATATACTGAGACCTTAGGATTCTGTGGTTTCTGGGTTGGCCAGGTTGGAAAATCTGGAATCATTTTCAAAATGATCTTTCCCTCTTCTTTGTCCTTTAAATTCAGTTCTTCAAGTCCTATGGATTCTTAGCTGTAGTTGAGGTTGCTTTCAGGGTCACCACTCCAAATTAAATTTTCACTATTTCATGCCTCTCTAGTTGATCTACTGCAGTGTTCTTTAACAGCTTAAGAACCTACAACTGGTTCACCATCGTTGTTTCAAATACAGACTTCCAAACCTGATTCTCTGTTTTTTACTGGTGTTATTTTTTTGTTGTTGTTACTTCTGCCAAGCAAATATGGCCATCAATTCTTGCTTGTTTCCATGTCTGTACCTTCCCAGGAGAGTTTATCTAGGGGAAACTTTGCCTCTACCAATCAGACTCCCTTCCTCATGAGCCACTGGTGTCACTTCTAGGAATCGAGCTCTGACCTGTATGCTAAGTCTAGCATAAACGTTTATGTTCAGCAGAGCAATTACTGATAGAAGTAAAACACTGGAAACAAAATAGATCCAAACACTGCAACAGTATGGGATTGGTTAAATAAATTATGATCCATATGGTAGACACAGAAATACCAGGTAGCCATTAAAATGAGGTAGTCTAATTTTATGCCATGGGAAATTGTGCAAGTTACATTTTTAGTTTAAAATGTGGTGTTGGAGGCAAAAAAACAATATGGTTTCAATTTTGCATTAAAAATATTAAAATACCTAGGCTCATTATATCATTAAACAAATAATAAAATGGAGAAGTGCTTGTATAAACTACTGGCAAAGATACAGCTAAACAGAGTATTATGGTTAAAAAAATTCGACCACCTGAGGTCCACAGAAAACAAAAACTTCTGTTAAACTCATCTCCTTAATAAATCATTTTTATGGTGTCTAGATTAAAAATTTTTTAAAAATTTTTTAATTAGTTTGATTGATTGATTAAATTGATCGATTTAATAGAGGTACTGGGAATTGAACCCAGGACCTCATGCATGCTAGGCATGCACTCTACCACTGAGTTATATCTTCCCCCCAATAATGTATTTTAAAATTACCTCTTTCCTCTTCTCCTCCTTAGCTTGCAAATCCTTTTAACTTACAAATCCAGTTTAAAACTTAAAATGTAAATGCAACCCTTTGAAATATGGAACTGTACATTACTGAATAAAACATTTAAAAGTCATGGTTAAATGTTAAAAAGAAAAATCTGAGGTTTTATGATCAAAATGAGTCTTCATATCAAATCAAATGCCAAAGAATTGTAGATGAAAAATGTCACCTGCCTTATCAGTAAACAAAGGATATTGCCACCATCAAGCCATCAGCCAAGCCACTGCAGCAGTCTGGACTGTGCACCTTGAGGGGATTCAGATTGCAGAAAAGCAGGATACTGGCCCTAGATAGATAAGGTGCATATCAAAGGACTGATTTCAAAAGTCCAGGCTCTTGTATCTTCTCATACATATAAGAGCGCTAAATTCATTAACTTGAGATGTCTGTTTTTTCTTTAATTAACAGTAATCTTTTGATGTTCCAACTACCAGATTTTTGTTACAAAAACTGCTATGTATCCTGGCTCCTCCCTTACCTCTTCAGAGCAGTTCCTAAGAGCTATCTGAGAGGCTGCCTCTGGGCTTAAGTCCTCAGCAAGTCCACTTTTAGGTTATACTTTTTGTTGTTGTTGTTGTTCAGTCAGCAGAATGTAGGATTTCATCTCATGATCCACTGATAGATTTTTGTATGTAAAAGATTTTTAAGCCTATGCACTTGGTTATATCACTTGTGACTTACAATATTTAAAAAAATATATAAGCATTTATATGTTAGGCTATACTGTGTGTTCTATGGAAAGAAAATGGTATTACTTTAAAAATAATGTTAAGTCACTTTGATCAACTTTATAGGCCTTCCCTCTCATGATTTTGAAATTTGGCATGTTATTTGCTGACAGTTTGTTAAGTGCTTTTCATTTGGGCACTCTTCACCCTCCCCAGCTACACTTAAAGCCACTTGAAGCCACAGAGAGGTTTTCTACCTTTAGCACCCATTTTAGGACTGGTTCTAGTAATTGCTGTGTAAATGTCAGCTAGTTGACTTCCTGTCTGACCTGATTTGGGCTGTTTCCTGATTATTAACATCTCCACCAGAGGGCGGGCTGGGCTTGGGAGGAGAGAAGGAAAGCAAATTTTTCTTTCTCTGGGTAACCCTGTCCTCCCTCTCCCCAGTCCCAGCTCCCAGCCTGGTGACTGCACAGAGCTCCTGGGACACATGTATAGCTCTGGGCAACACAAAGGAGTGTTTTGTTTCCCAAAGTGACCAATGACATGAGTTTATGCATTATCTTTTTGTAGCATTCTCTGTGTAGAAGGAAAGGGGGAAATATGTTAATTTGCTCAGGACTTAAAATAAAATGTGTTGACTATAAAGCAATCGAGTAATTATGGGATTTCTAATATTCTTGTGGCCTGTGTCCTTGAGAACCAGAATTTTTTGTGTGGCAGAGAGGAGGTACAGAAGTGATACAGAGGTTAAAAACCTTGTAGCCCTGAGTTTGAATAGGAACTATCAGTATGAATTCATGAGGTATTTTATCTCCCTATCCCTATCCACTGAAAAGATCTAGAAACAATCTAGTAGCAATAAACACTTCTACCACCTGGATCTTAAAATATCATTTCCCAGGGGAAGAAACCAGAGCTTGGAGACAATGGCTGATTCCAGGTCTGGGGCAGGAAATGTACAAGATGAACATGGAACAACTTACCATACTAGAGAGCAAAGAAGCCAGCAAACATGATCAGAGTAATGGCAAAAGGACTCAGGAGCCAAGCTCTTATGGCCAAAAATGGGTTAATTTGAGCATTAATAGAAGGTATATTTAAATCCATGAGTTCATAACAGGTTGTGTGTGTGTGTAACCTTTTTGAAGGATGATACAAAACCAGATTATTATTTTGAAGATGATAAAAGAATCAAGCAGTTACCTTGCTGTTCCTATATAAACTGTACCTCAGGGTAATGAAATAGAAGATAAAAGAAGTGTTCCTTTGTAAAAGTATTCCAACTATTATGACAGATTTTGAACAGAGCTGTTTTGAAATCCCTAATAAATGAATGAATCTAGGCACTGAGCAACAAAGCCTGGATTCTTCAATGGTTAAATTGAAGGAAAAGAAAGGAATGGAAGAGGAGCCTGTAGATTGAAAGAGACTTAAAAGGCATATGGAATTTTTTTAAATGGGCAGGCCTAAACTGTAATGTTTAGGGATCTGGATTTTGGTAATAAAACTCCAAAAAGAAAAAAAAAAAGCAAGGATGTTATTGTCATGAACCATAGTGTCCATTTACACCAGGAAGGGCTGTGATGAAGATGAAGAACGTGGCCAGGGTGGGTGGAAGGGCTTTTGGTATTTGGCAAAATTCTGTTTCTTTCTCTGGGTGATGTTTTCAAGGGTATTTGCTGTATATTAGTTTATTAAGCTATGTTTTTGTTTTGTACGATTTTCTGTATCTGTTTTATTTTAAAATAAAATGGTTTATGCTGTACACCAGAAATTAGCACAACATTCTAAATCAAGGGGGAGCAGTGATAGCTGAGTGGTAGAGTGTGTGCTTAGCATGCATGAGGTCATGCGTTTGATCCCCAGTACTGC